GCAGCACACCAACATGGCACAAGTATACATATGTAACAAACCTGCACGTTATACACATGTACCCTAGAACTTAAAGTATTATAATAATAATAATAATAAATAATAATAATAAATTAAAAAAATAAAATTAAATTAAAAAATAATAAAAAATTACTTTCAGGCAAATTTTTATCTAAAATATCTATTTTGTGGCATAAAAACCCAGGACATGATGTTTTAAGTAAAACACATTCTGATCAATGAATCCTATGCTCAATGAAATTGTCGGAATTTTTTAGGTTTGCCAATGCTCTGGAATTCTGTCCTTCATATCTATGCTGAAAACAACTAAAAAAATTTAGTTAGTTAAAAATATCAAAATTAAAAGTCAATATTGTGTATTTGTAATAAAAAGTGGAGAGAATTAAAGCACAGTAAAATACAGTTATATCTAAGTAATTATTTCAAATATTATTTTATAAAGAACAAAAATTTCAAATATAGTTCCTGAAAAATGCATTATTGGAAACAGTTTTAAAACCCTGTCTCTATTAAAACTACAAAAATTAGCTGAGTGTGGTGCCACTCACCTGCAGTTCCAGCTACTTGGGAGGCTGAGGCAGGAGAATCGCTTGACCTGGGGAGGCAGAGGTTCCAGTGAGTCGAGATCATGCCACTGCACTCCAGCCTGGCAACGGCGACAGAGCCAGACTCCATCTCAAAAAAAAAAAAAAAAAAAAGGTAATCTGTATCTAATATCTCAGTTGATTTTGAAAAGTATGAAAAACGGGCAGGGGAGAAGATAGGTGATATTCTGCTAATTTCCTCAAACTGTTTAAGAAATGATTCAGTATAAACTATAATATTACTTAGATGTGAATAATTGTAGAGAAGTTTATTCTACTTATATTCTTTACCTTTTAATATTAATTACTTTAATAGTAAGTACAAATAGAATGTACTTTTTCAAATATGCATTGTGTCTATCATCTATCTATCTTTTCCCCCAAAATAAGAAAAAAAATGAAAGAATGAAACTATCATTCAAAAGAAAAATAAGCAAACAAAAATGGGTGAGAAATTATATAAAAAAATATTTTTAAGAAAGTTTTTGGAAGCAGAATAAAACATATCAATTATTATAATAAATGTTGATAGGTATATTTTCCTATAAAAATATGTTAGGTTGATTTAAGAAGCAAAAGAATGTTTTTAAGAGGCAAAAAATAGCACCATGGAAAAGCTATTACTCTTTTATTCAATATCTTTCCAGAAAGTTCTAAAAAGTGAAATAAGCCATGTCCTCCAACCAATAAAGGTGATAGATATCTGACTGTCCCTATGAAAACCTCAAGACAACTAAGAAATTGTTAGAACTAATATGGAAATTCCTTAAGATGACCAATAATTAACTCATTTCCATTTAGTCACTTTGTTCTCTTTCCCTCTATGGAACATACTGTCTGTTGGGTATCCATAGGACATCCAGTTCTAAGTCAGATTTCACTCCAGTACGTCTGAACACTTCTACTCCCACCATTTGAGGTTTTTGCTTGTGAAGTCAACTGTGTTTGTTTCCAACTGTCAATCAACCAAGCACACTTAATATTGTAAAAGTTAATAGTGCATGAAATGTTGTATACACTATTGAACTATGAATGTGAAAGAGGATTCTTTCAATGGATATCAATGTAAATATTTTGAAATTATTTGATAAAATGAGTTGCAAACAAACAGTAACTTACTGATGAATTAGCTAAGATGGGCAGAGCTACTATATATGTTTGAGGGAAAAGATCATAAAAATCTTGGATAATGTAGCATGCATTTCGTTTCACAAGAATGTTTAAAGACGCTGATACTGCAAATTGTAGACAATGATTTGGGAACGTGGTTCACATAAGAAAACTTCAGTTTGCAATAATCATCCCACACAAAACACATACACAAAAAAGCTTGATCATATATCAGAGGGTTAGGGGTAAAAATGTTCATTTATATGTCTTAAGTTAAATTTTTATAATGTATACATTTAAAAAATTAATTTCCTTGTAATTGACTTTTCAATTAATTGATCAAGCACTGGTTGCTTTGGATAAAAGGGCTTTTACTATACGTAAAACACAATAGTTTTCCCCATATCGACAATAACTAGTTAGAAAATTATAATACCAAAAGTCACACAAATATAAAATATCAATAAATGTAACATGTAATAACTAATACAAATTTAAGGCAATTGTTAAAGCTTTTTTGATGGTAAAACTTAATATTTTAAGAATATTGTGTGTCTTCAAAATAACACACAATTTTGCTGAAAATCTGGTAAGAATTTCAAGAGAATTTGTGTTTGTACATGCACATGTACTTTATAATGTGATTTTAAAGCTTATTTGGAAGAAAAATCAATTGAGAATAAGTAGATGTTAAATAAGAATATTTAGATGTATTCTCATTTAGATGTTAAATAAGAATAAGATGTTAAAGTAGATGTTAAAAAACCATTAAAATGTTAAGAAAGATGTTTAAAAGAACAAAAGTGAAACTTGTACTAAAAATTAAAATATTGCATAAATTATAATATTTCATAAATAATGTATTATAATTGCATCAGAAATGAAAAATAAGTGCAGGAATAGAGATACAGTTTATAAAACAAAAATACCCATGAATATATGAGTCTTAAATACACAGTAAAGTGAAGATAGGATAACACAGTGGTTCAGAGCTCTTTGCCATCAGACTACTTGTGTTCTAACTAATCTTGGATACTTTACATAAAATCTTTATACTTCAATTTTCTCATCTATCATATGGGAATAATAAATGTACTTACCAATAGGGTTTCTGTGATGATCCGATGAAAACAAATAAAAGGGACTTAAAGCTAGTGCCTGTAAACATCCATTAAATGTCAGCTCTTACTGTTTTTCAAATAACCACAGCTTTGGAATAATGGGCTAATATTTGTTGTGACATTATTTTCCTGTTACTATAAACTGAAGTTTATTTTGGATGATCAAAATTTATATTCTCAAAAAGTGAAATCATAAAGGTAACAGAAGACTGTATAGTTAAGGACAAAACTAAGACTTCATTGCAACGAGCTTAATTACTAGAAGGTAGAATCCACCTTGCAATCTTTGGTTCTTGGATTTTGCACTTTTAATATATATCAATTGCTTTGCAATTTAGTCATCGACATTACAAAAATATGAGTAGAAAAGACAGATTAGTTGAACAACTCTGTTGCAGTGTCTGAAACAAATACCCAAACTCTGTCTGGGTCTAAACTTGTAGGAGAGGGAGGCAATCTCCTATGAACTGAGAGTTGAGAAGTCTCCAAAAATATCTCCTGCCTCAGTGTTCCTCTAAAGGCACTGACACTGTGAAGGAATTTCTTGCTAAGCATTCCTACAAGAAAACGCACAGGCTTTAAAGTCTCTCCACCTGCGTTTAATCTTGACTCTGCCCCCTGCCAGGTCTCTGGCTTTGGGAAATTTATTCAGTAAATAAAGCTTACAAAGCAGTTTTCTTAGGTATCTTGCAGAGTTAGTGTGAATATCAGTAAAAAAAAAAAAAAATATATGGAAAGTGTCCTGTGCTGTGCCTAGCTTTTCTTTCCTGAAACGTTTTTTTATTGCAAAATACACATAACATAAAATGTACCATCTTAAGCATTTTAAGTGCAGTTCAGCAGTGTTAAGTACATTTATATTCTTGTGCAACCATCACCTCACTACCATCTGTCTCCAGAACTCTTTTCATCTTGCAAAACTGAATCTCTAAACTGTTAAACAATGATTCCCATTTCTCCCTATCCCCAGCCTCTGGCAATCACTGTTCTACTCTCTGTCTCTATAATTTTGACTACTTTAGAGTCCTCATATAAGCGAAATAATACAGTTTTTATCTTTTGTGACTGACTTATTTTGCTTAGTACGTTTAGCTTTTAATATGGGTTCACCCCTTCCCAGTCCCTTACCCTCTCCAATTACTTGAATACTATCTTACCTCCTTGAAATCATGGAAACTCCCTCAGCCTGACAACCTTTTTCTTCTTTCATTTTCTTAGCTAATTTCTGAAGCTTGCAGCTCAGGATTCAACTCAAAAATTAGTTATCTAGAAAGCATCACTAATTCTCATCTTCCTCTCACCTTCAGGATAAGGCGTCCCTCCTATGAACTACTATAGAACTGCGCATGTTTCTCAATTACAAAGCTGTTAGCCCTGCATCAGGCTAATTGCTGACAAGTGAGCAAGCAGATAAGCAAGGAAGCTAGCCAGCCTTTATTGAGCACTTTATATGTGAAATCATATTCTCAGCTCTGTAGGGGAATACGAAATAAAATTATATTAAAAAAAGTCCATGTTGGCCGGGCACGGTGGCTCACACCTGTAATCCCAGCACTTTGGGAGGCCAAAGCGGGCGCATCAAGAGGTCAGAAGTTTGAGACCAGCCTGACCAACATGGTGAAACCCCGTCTCTACTGAGAATACAAAAATTAGCTGGGCGTGGTGGTGTGTGCCTTTAATCCCAGCTACTCAGAAGGCTGCGGCAGGAGAATTGCTTGAACCTGGGAGACAGAGGTTGCAGTGAGCCGAGATTGCACTACTGCATTCCAGCCTGGGTGACAGAGCGAGACTCCGTCTAAAAAAAAGAAAAAAAAAAAAAGAAAGGTTCTTGTCTCAATCATATAAAGGAGATGTAACATTTAATGAAATCTGGGAAAAAATCTTCTAAATTAAGGTTTTTAAAGTTATCTTTTTAGAAAATTAGATATAAAATACTCCTTCTCCCAAATAGAACAATACATAGGTAGATCAACAGATAGATAGATGAATGGATAGATCCATAGATAAATAGAGCAATGCCTAAAAACATAGGTAGATACAAAGATACATATATACATAGTCAAGCACATTTGGAAAACACTAAAAATTCTATCTCTTTGTGATCCACAATGATATTAGCATTAAAAGCCTCTGAGAATCATGTATTATACATGAGAAATATGTATAAATTTAACTCTTTTAAAAAAATTTATTTCTGTATGAAATGTTTTTTTCACACAGTTCAACTAGCATTTCATAAAAGCCTCTTTAGATGCTGTAAAAAGCATTTCAGATATAATAAGTTACATCGTGATATTTAGGCAGTATCTAAGCTATCTTTATGTGTTAATTCAGTTACACTTCACAGCAACACCATGGGACAGGTAGTATTTTAATGTCTTTCTTGCAAATAAAGAGCTGAGGTCCCAAAAGATTAGGTAACTAGTCCAAGATCAAACAGCTGGTCAGTGGTGGAGTTGAGATTTAAGCTGAAGCATATTGAATCTAGAAAACGAAGACCTGAGTTTGGGCTCTATTGGGTAAGTCACAATAAAGGTTCATTTTTTTCATCTGGGAAGCGTGGATACGCAATTCATCATGTTATCTGAGTTATTCAATTCTTTTTCAATAGACCTTTAAGAGCTCCCTACAGTTGAAAGCAGGGATTGACAAACTTTTGTTACAAAGGGCCAGATTGTAAATATTTTAGGCATCATGGACCAAATCAGTTACTTGAACATAATTTGTCTTTCTCCCTTTCTCCCTCTCCTCTCTTCCTCCCTCCTTTCTTTCTCTTTCTTTTCTTAAAAATGTAAAACATATTCTTTGTTAAATGGCTGTAAAAAGGAGGCTGAATTTTAACTTTAGGTTTAACTTGCCTACCCTTGCTATAAAGTATTAAACAGTATAAGTTAATATCAGTCAGGAAAAAGAAGAGCCAATTAGTTGTTAAACGGTAAAGTGTCTGAAGCTGGTTCCTTAAACCTCTTTGCAATTCACTTCATTTCATCAGCCATCAAAAGAAAATTTATACCGGCAAACTTTTTTTCAGAAATGCTAAGTTTCTGCCATAGATGATTAAGGGAACTCATTCAGAATGCTTTCCTGCCCTATATATCACGTTCTTAAAGGATAAAATGCAATAAGAATAGATGAGCTCTTGATGTGTAAAATCTTCTAGAAATATTTTAACAAGTGAATAGAAGGTAATGACCTTGAAACAGCTACATAGGAATGAAAAAGACAGCCGGGCGCGGTGGCTCACGCCTGTATCCCAGCACTTTGGGAGGCTGAGGCAGGCGGATCACCTGAGGTCAGGAGTTTGATACCGGCCTGGCCAACATGGTGAAACCCAGCCTCTACTAAAAATACAACAATGAGCCGGGCGTGGTGGCAGGCGGCTGTAATCTCAGCTACCCGGGAGGCTGAGGCAGGAGAATCGCTTGAACTCAGGAGGAGGAGGCTGCAGTGAGCTGAGACTGTGCCAGTGCACTCCAGTCTGGTGAACAGAGCAAGAACAACAACAACAACAAAAAAGCCGGGCGCGGTGGCTCACGCCTGTAATCCCAGCACTTTGGGAGGCCGAGGCAAGCAGATCACGAGGTGAAGAAATCCACACTATCCTGGCCACATCGTGAAAACCTGTCTCTACTAAAAATACAAAACTTAACTGGGCGGGTGGCACGCACCTGTAGTCCCAGCTACTCTGGAGGCTGAGGCAGGAGAATCTCTTGAACCCCTGAGGCGGAGGTTGCAGTGAGCCGAGATCGCGCCACTGCACTGTGGCCTGACGACAGAGCGAGACTTGGTTTCAGAAAAAAACAAAAACAAAAACACAAAAGCAAACAAAAAACAACAAAAAAGGAAAGAGTAGGCTGATGTTCAGGAAAAGAGGGAGGTTTTCAGAAAGCTGTGCTTGGGATACAGCAAAAGAAAGAAGGATACCAAGAAAGTAAGAATACCACGGAATTATCCTAAACCAGTCTCCTGCATGGGAAGACCAGCCTCCGTTTCTGCACGCCCCTTTTTACTCAGAGGCGATTCTCTGATTTAGCCTGATTTATCCATATCATTTTGTGCCCTATATGACGTCTCTTTTAACTAATGAGACTCCAAAGAGAAGAAATTTCCCTAGTGGCTTTTCTCAAGCCAAATCCAACTGAAATCATATTTCAGAGAAATTTCCTGGGTTAATAAACTGGAACAAAGTTAGTGGGCAACTCTTCATGTGACAATCACAGACTACTATCTGGAGTCCATGGAGAGATCCCCTCCCTGTTATGTAGTTTTGTATTAGGAGTCCT